ACTGGCTTCCGTAGCGGAACGGATGTCGTACCTCTTGGTCTTGAGTACTCAGTGGTTCGTCGGCATCTGACATTACGGAGACTTCTTGATGTATTCCGATGGTCAACTGAGTCTGCATACCGCATCGATTAAACACGCAAAAATAAAATTTGGACTAGAAGAACCTTTTGCGTTTGCGTTTGCGACCTGAGCGTCTGGGGATGAACCATGTAGAACGCATTGCCGAAGAGGTGTGCAGTAGGGCTTGCAGTTCCAATTTCTCTGTCTGTTCCACGCCCTCTCACAATATGCCGAGTGTTTAAGGTACACATGAACGAGACAGCGTATACTGGAATAGAAACAAAGGTTAGCACAGAAGCGGCCGAGAGGAAGATAACCCACGTTTACTCAGAACAAAATAGAAAGCCATAAACAGGAAGTTCATAGGATACAGATCGTACTGTCCATACGGTCAAACGTGTTTCGCTGATTTCTGCTTTCTGGACTCACCAATACTAATGTTGTGATACTGATGGTACTATAAATATGTTCGGATCAGTCTCTGGCACACGATTTTCTCCCACCAACCTTGTCAGAACGCCCGTGTTGATGGCATACACCGTGAGTCTGCTCACAACAGAGTCCGAACTTATGTTCAACTCAGTATGAGTAACCTGTCAGCTCAGGACGTAGAATGACGCACCTCTTGTAACCTGTTCTTAGCCTCCGCAAGAACATGGATAAGGAAAGTGCAATGATGATATCAGTCAGGGCCCCAGCGCCCAGCGAAAGCGAAGCCAAAGTCTGGGACCAAAGTTAGAATCGGTACGGCATTCGGAACTGACGAGCGCTAACCTTCAAGTTCGAGATGTACGTCAGTTTGTTCAGCTGAAAACTTATCGATCACATGTCAGAATCTAGGATGGTTCTGTGAAAAAGAACATCTTACGCTCGTACGGCATATGCTTTTGTTATCAGGTGGTCAGCACTAGTCTCTTTCAACGGGTCCGAGATTGGAGGTACCTATGGCAAGTCCTGCTCGGAACTCGGTGGTCAGAATGGGCACCGGGGGAATCCTTCGATAACGTACCGAGTTGTCCATATGTCAAGAAAAGCTGTATCAAGATATGAATGTTAAGCGACTATAGATAGTTCAAGCAATGGTGTCTTACAATTAAGCATGTAATAGGAAGATTATGTCCGCTGACTGAGTCTTGTTTAGGTACATCCCCGAAGAAAGAGGACTAAAGATTCTTACATCGCCATACACGCATGGCAAAGCATCTAAGAAAAAAGTCAGTAACCAAGGCATGATTGGGTGCACATGGCGTACGTTTTAACAATGGTACCCACTAAGGCCTAGTGAAAGGACATAAATACTTCGTAAGACCCGTGAAATTTGACAGGTACGTACACCCAAAACTAATTGGATCTGTTAAGTAGTCTTTGAGCCATCAATATTAGGTGAAGGGCACTGCTTACAATAAGCGACCATATCACGTCCCCAAACAACATAACTTGCGGCGACATATAATTTCTAGTGGTTTCTGTCAGTCGAGCGTTATGGTGCAAGCTTTTCTACATACGATATCGTATAATAATACACGCAATGCCCAATAAACGCTTGGTCGACCATTTCTAGAACCCTACACCCGGGAAATCAACGGATCGGCGCGTCATCGCAAAAATCACCTGCATACCAAATTGCCGCCACCTGTCCACGAACAAAATTAACTGGTTGTAGCTTCGGAAGAGGGATGTCGTCGCACCAGAAGTTTATATGCAGGTAAATCGGATGGATACCGCCGAAAATATGAAAAAGCTTGCACGCACAGCGCCCCGATTATTGCACAAGACACACCGAACCCGATTAATGCTGCGCCAAGGGTGGAATCGACACGGATAGGACTAGACATGCTGAGATGGAGGGGAGGATAGGACAGTATCGGAGGGAAGGATGAGGAACGGGGTGCTGACGACTGACCACAAGTTACAAGAATCCCCCGCTTATGGAAGTCGCTATATATGCCTTACCAAGTGCCGTGACATCAGGGTCCGGGAACAATGTATTAAAAATGCATTTCACACTAATCGAATTCGAGAAACTTTTGGTGACGTCCTCGATGGTAATGAATCCGCGTGTCATAGAGTCTTCGGGGCGTCGGTCATTAAGCAGCAAGAGCTGGAGCGCTTAGTTCCCGAGTCTTGAATACTGCAGTATATATGTGAGTCATCGTCACTGCAGATTTACCCGTTGGGAAACCGATGCGTCAAACGGATCTGACTCGCAGTGACCCAAGTACTACCAACCAGATTCACAGTTCTGGTACGATGCGAGATGATGCGTGGACCGGGGGCAAAGAAACGCCTCCCCCCGGTTCGTGGGACGCTACGCACACCATACCGAAGAAGAGCAAACAACTGACGAACGAAAATGAATAGAAGCAAGGGAAAAGTCACGGATTCTCCTCTTTCTGACCCGGAATAATTGACTCATGGAGTCGATAACATATCCGAGGCCTGGATGGTGGGTTCAATCTAAAGTTTAGAAGATGCAGACCGCATGCCACATGGCGTGTATCGCCGCCCTGAATCCGCGTTACGAAAGATATGTTAGAGTGCCCGAGCGGCTCATGAAACGGTGTAAAATATATCTGGACATTACGCTTTACGGTTGAAGTCAGTCGTTGTGCATTCATGATTCGCTTTTTTGTGCGCAAAATCTTTCGGACCGGAGCGCTCTGACTCTGGGACCCGAATTGACCATGGGTATTCAGGTGTGAAAAGGTGACTGGATACAGTGACTCACGAAATATCTACATGTTTTGGCCGTAAGTTGATGACAAGGCACCCACTCTGACCCCGCACACTTCGAGGGGCGCTGGAGAAAACAAAAAATGATCTTGACGCCGCTAAATCCAATGATTTGAGTGCGGGAATCCTAGGCCGGTGGGCGCGCGGTAGATAAGAATGTATTAACTGCTGTAAAGGATATCTATCATGACGTCGTCAGACCAGACAGAAACAGGGTAGAAGCGACACACCTAATATATACCTTACTGCTTCTTCATATTCTTCTTCGCGATACTCTTATCACTTCTCACCCGTGTTGACTTCGAAGGTACTTGTTTTGCGCGATGAGACTGAGGATGGTTTCTTTCGCGCCCTATCACGCTCTTTCCCTTGCATCTTCACTCCCTCCTTAACCAACGATAGTCTCGCCTTCTTCTTTGCGAGGCGTCGTGCCACACGGTCTGCATCGGCGGACTTGACGTGTTTGCGGGCCTCTTTGGTGAGATGAACGAGTCTTTCGCCTAAGGAAGGGTCACCAGCGGATATTGACGGCTGGACTAAGTTCTTCGTTCCCGCGGTGACCGAAGTAGTAGGACGGCGTCCTCCTGGTAGTGTCTTGCAGCGTTGCACACGCAACTTGCGTTTGGCGAATTTGAGCTTGACTTCTTCCAACGCCAGAACTTCGTCGACGCATTGTCGGTCCTGGTCGGTAAGTTTAAGTTGTCTGAGCATATGAAAGATGGAAAGACACTTACGGCAAATTGAACGTAGGCAAACCCTTTCCCAAGCTGAGATTCTTTGTCTCGAACAATCCGAACCCTGGTCACCCACATGGGCAGTTTCTTCACATCTCTATCTTGCTCGTCGTTGTTGGCTGGCGGACCACGCTCTCCTGTAACAAGCGTTTCGAAAAACACCCGAAGATCTTCCTCTTTGCTTCCGAAATCCAGATTCCCGACAAACACTGACGACTTGGGATCACCGTCAACCGAATCGCCGCGGTCTTGAGAGTTTGTTCTGCTAACGAGATCCACACGAAGAACACGATCCATGAAGGTCGAGCCGTTGCATACGTCAGCCGCAAAGCGCGCCGCTTCGTACGGGTCGAGCGTATGAGGCAAAGGGGGTAGATTGGATGGTCTGTTTTCTGGCGGAACAGGGTGGGCGAAAACGATGTAAGCATTGGTGAGGTCGGCGGAGGAGTGAAAATCATGATTGATGAAAGCGATACGTTTCTTTTGGCTCGGTGTAAGAAATGTCTTTTCATCATTTTTTGTGGAGTCATCTTCATTGTTGTCTCTCCATGACGAAGCACGATCCTTTCCATGCTCTCTGCCTTTCTTTGCCTTCCCCGGTGTCCTTGCCTTTTTCTCGGAGACATCATCCTCAGGAAGTTTGGACGTGGGAGTCTGAAAAGCGACAGAACGAAAACGAGTAGATTCTATTTTTGCATTGGGAACCAGACCAATAATATGTCGGTGTAGCTGTCTAAGCACAGACTGCGAGTGACGATGAGAACGAGTCGACATCGAGAGAAGGCGTGCAACGCACCTTTTTTTGAGCAACTTCGATAGTCAAATTTCCAACGAAGATCGTGCGTAAATCCCGTTGGTCCTGTGTCTCATCAGAAGGAACGAATTTACGCTTCTGACTGGCACGACCGGTAGAAAGAGTAGTCTGAGCTATCGATTCGTGAACAAGTTTCGAGGGATCTTCGTCTGACTCGGATTCGCCATCCTTCTCAGTTCGAGCCTCTTTCGTCTTCGCGTAAGTATCCTCCAGTTCGTCGTCGTTCTCGTCATTGTCGATGGCGACCTCTACTGTATGCTTCACAGTCTTTTGGTTTTTTTTAGGCACTTTGCCTTGCTTCGCAGACTCGAACGAAGTAGATTTCGGTCGCTTCGTAGGGGTAGTGGATTCTTGTTCATGTTTACGTTTCTTCGAGGTGATTTTGGTGACATTGGATGGCCCAGATATAAGTGGGAGTTTCGTAGGCTGCTATGGTGTAAAGACAGATACTCCAGTCAGAGAAGAGCACTTACATTTGATTGGAATAGGGCATCGAGTTCTGTATCTATATGCTTGTTGCCAGGAGAGAGAAGCAAAGAATCCAACGCCATGGTGAAAATACGAAGACAAGCCGGATAAGGTATAGCTACCGTAGCTTAGTATGGAACGATCTGGCACTCCTGGCGTCTCCATATAATCAAACACCAACCAACTAGTATGGGCGTTTAGCGCAGTGGTAGCGCGTATGCTTTGCATAGTTATGGTGATTATCCCATCGTACTGATGTAAGCGATTGTATAAGGTCCAGGGTTCAATCCCCTGAACGTCCATCTTTTTGGCATTCTAAAGAATGCACAGTCTCAACGGCGAACGCATAGTACGTACGTTTATTCTGTCAGAATCTGTACTTTTGCACATTTGAATTTTACACTAGAGTTGCGTGGGACTTAATGTCATTAGTATGAATTTTTAAAGGAAGTCTTCATTCACTTTTCTGAGTCTCTGAGAACCGTCGTGGGGGTATCGGATGTGTCAAGTAACATCAAACATACTGTTCCTTCCTCGGCTAGTAACGAGGTCCCTAGACTTATACCTGTCCTGTATAAAGTTCCATCGTCCTCAAAAGCCACCAGACGATGAAAGGCTATGAACTTATACAGGTCTTCGTGTAAAGCTTCCATGGAAAGCGTGTGCGCGTAGTTCCGACGGAGCACATACCAGTTCAAAGGAAGAAACACGACTGCTAGCCATCAGGGCGACTTTACCTATGCCCCGAGGTCTCTCTGTGTAGTATTATATTTGCAAATTAAGCTATCCACTGTAAGTAATACAACAATCTATGGTATCGCCAACCTCTCAAAGGAAATCGTGCGGGAATTTCGTACACCCAGACTTAAAATCTGGCCAATGCAAGAGGCTCGCGGAGAACCGGCCATTCATTAATTCACTGAAGTATGACCGGCATTAGTCATTGCGGCAATGGACACATTCTCCTGGTCTTGTCCTCACGTCCTCTTTACAAGGTCAGGGAGCTTCCGCGTTCAAGTAGCGGTGTTGTTGACCTGGCTAGGCTGGCCCATCGGATATGTTGTCATCTGTTCATAGCGGGCCGCCATTAGATCGTCTAGAGTTCCTTTTGGACACCCGAGAGAAGTATATAGCCAGTTCCCTCGGTGAACAAACATGTATGAACACGACTAAAACATCGTCGCACGATAAATTAGGATTGCGGAACAATATGCCGGATTCGTAACAAATCTAGAGGTATGGCATCGCCGTCTTCAAACGCAGTCGGTCCGCCTCTTCCCATGGGTAAGCTTTCTTGATCCTTGTATTAAACAACTCAGTGGTTCCGCCGACATTATCTCAAGATTTCATCACATGATTGGTGTCAAATGTCTTGTTGATAATCTTGTCCGTGTTATGCATCTCCTGATTCTGGATAATCTCCAATAACATCAGCACCCCGGTTCATTCGCAACGATAGATGTGCGATCTATGGAGCTCCTTCTTTACGTAGCCCGGAGGAAGTCCTCGACTTCCCCTGAGTTTGAAGGCCGACACGGATAAGGCTGCCGCAGGAATCTATTGTTTCCTGTGATCTTGAACCGGAGATTTTTGGGACCGGAGGTGAGCATGAGTATCGAGTACAGAAGAGCAGATATTCCTTTCCTTATTTTGTACTTGTCTACGTATTTAGCATCGACAAATTGGATAAAAGTTCTTCACTCTTCAGTTTAAACCCGACGTACACGGTGAAGTCAAGCAGCGGACAACTTGAATGAGTAGGAAAGACCGAAGCATTGGCTCTGTGTCGTTCTAAATGACCTCTGGTACAGTAGGGCATTGGCGTTTACATAGGGTAGGTTATACACTGTTAGTAATTAGGTCTCTCGGAAGAAGGAATGCTTCACCTTCAGCTTTGAATATTAATGTTGAATGTTCAACGTTCAACGTTCAACCTTGGCCGGTGGAAGGAGATAACATCACGTGACTGTCTCGTGGACTACTACCAAGAAGGTTATCCCGAACTATCACCTCTTTTCTTCCTCCTTTGATAGCTCACAGTCCGAAGTCGCTGAACCAACCTTATCGGGCATTTCGAGTCCAACACACTATGAGAACCCAGGCTGTCACTCCTGTGTTCTACATACTACCCATCAACAGTATTCAATATGACTACAGTTGAACTGTCAACATAGTTTGATATCTGACAGTTCGAGTCATCTGCAAGGCTATACCATGACACTCATTACTTGATGATGCAAATCCAGCAGAGATTTGGAATACTACTTTCTTCCGTGCGCTCGACGCTGAACCGTTTCTATTATCCTCCGCGTCTGGCGGTAATTATACGAACATTCGAATATTCGTACCCGTTTGATCTCATTTCCGCAATGGTCGTTCGGAACGATCACCGCGCGCGGTCTTTCAACCGCCTTGATGTTTTGTCGGACGGAGTTGGACCTGAGACCCCCTTACTTGCGTATATCCTGGTCCCAAAGTATCCGGTATTGCTTTTTTTTCATTTATATCATCTGCTGACTGACTGAATTGCTCGGCCTTCTCTAGATCGATCAACGGTGGGAGTGAACGTCCTTTATACTCGGTCAATTAAACTATGGAGTTCCTTACAGATGGCGGCGACGGATCAAAGATCTGTATCTGGCGCGCGTTTTGCACTGGAATAACCGGTCCCGTGGGATGCAAAGTATATAAGCATGACGGGCTCAACTGATATACCCTCAACTCGGTCCAGCCATGCTCCCTCTTCTGCTCTCCGCGATAGCCACCAGCCATGTAATGGCATCGGCGACATATCCTCAGGAACCCTGGTCGATTGGCCGTGACCGTGTATGGAACTCCTTGAACGCGTCCGTCGACGGCCGCCTCGTTGCAGGCTCCCCCCTTGCGCAACCATGCGTTGATGACCCCACATCGGCGTTATGTTCAGAGATACAGCATGGATATCTAGATGAAGGTATGTGCCAATATCTGCAGCAGATGTGTATCGTGTTCATTGCGATGGTCAATGATCTTAGTGTTTCGTTCAAATCGACCAGGCGGCTTCACCAATGCGCAGTGGGAGAGTTGTCAGGCCACCGGTCAACAGTGCCTCCTCGATTACACCAACACGAGTAGTACTAGTCCGATAGGGGCGCCCAATAAATGTCAAATGGGCAGCGTTTCAAATTATTATGTGAGTGCCTATTATACAATGTTTGCGAGCGGCAGTTCCTGAATTGCAGCGGCACAAGCTCGATGTGCGTTCTGCGAGGGATGTCTCAACTGCCTTTGAATTCTCCAAAACGTATAAAATTCCGCTTGTCGTAAAGAATACCGGAGTGAGTCTATCTGTTCGTTCGGCATCATACCGATGACTCATGGTTTGTTCAGCACGATTACAAGGGCCGAAGCAGTGCACCTAACTCACTCGGAATCTGGGTACGTCTTCAGACTAGATCTACGTACTGAAACTCATTCAATAAACTTTCCAGACACATAATCTCAAACAAGTATGTGATGCTACGTGTTGAGGGCTGCGCAGAGGTTGAACATTCATCTAGATCTCGTATAATCATCGCTTCGTTCCTGAAGGTTGTAGACGTTCACAGCCAGCACGACCAGCGGTAACACTCGGGGTTAGTCTCCTTTACATCTCGACCTAGAACTGATCAATTGATCAAAATGATAGGCCGGTGTCCAATGGTACGAGGCGTATGCTTTCGCGGAAGCTAACAACATCACCATCGTTGGAGGTAGGTCTAGATCTCGGAATTACCGCAGGTCCTGAATGTCCGTAGGTACCGACAGATCCGTCGGCGCGTCCGGTGGTTGGTTAATGGTTCGAATCTACTATCTCTTTAGATATCACTCGGAGTTTCACGGTTTTCCAGGGCGGCGGACACAGCATGCTTTCAAATACAATGGGACTAGGCGTTGATCGTGTGGTACGCGTCATATCTCAGTTTCGATCGCTACTATACCTGAACTGTCAACCTTTGCTCCCATAGCTTCAGTTCAAAGTCGTCACACCGGATGGACGATACAGAATTGCCAACGCATGTCAAAATCAGGATCTCCTCTATGCACTCCGTGGAGGTGAGTGTTCACGGCTTTCGCTATACCGTTGATCGTAGATAACAACCCCGGCGATAGGTGGTGGCGGGACCTTCGGTGTGGTACTCGAAAGCACGGTACTGGCATCTCCGCCGGTCAAACTTGAGACGGTCATCGTATCATTTGACCCGGCCGCTAATTCGACTCTCACCCAAGAACTATGGACCATCATGGCTGAGAATTCAGTGCGTTGGGCAGAGGAAGGCTGGGGCGGTATCTCGAACCAAGGTGTTGCCATTTACATCAACCCGCGCCTCGACGCCGGAGCTGCTGCTCGGTCCATGGCCCCGCTGATCAAATTTGGTCAGCGGTTAGTCGCTCAGAAAGTTACCGGTGCGAAAACGCTGGTCACGACCTTCCCAACTTGGTCGTCGTTCTTTACCACGTTTTCTAGCCAATATGTGGCGGTATGCTTACTTTGATTTATCTAAGCAGTCGGTTTCTTGATCTTTCGAACTCTCTAGCGCGTTGGAATACCACTAGCACTGGCCTCCCGGTTGATAAACAAATCCAACTTCGAGACGCCGTCGAGCCAAAACGAACTAGTGTCCGCACTTACGGCCGCCAACAAAGCCACAGGATCAGTGATTATACTTATCTCGGCACCTTCATCTCATCCAGGTGATGGCCACACTAGCGTAACCGAAGCCTGGAGGGACAGTTTGTTCCATGTTACGCTAGTTTCATCGTGGAATTGGAATACATCGACCGAAGGAAAGAAGGGCCATTATACACTGGCTAGCCAAGCGATTGACCATCTACGAAAAATTACTCCCGACGCTGCATATGTGGTACGTTTTCATTTTACCACGCATTTGTATGTCGAACCTGACACGTGATACTCAGAACGAGGCCGATGTATACGAACCAAATCATGAAGGTCAGTTACCCCCCAGCTAGCATACATGCGAAAGACTAACCTATGTTGTATTCAGTCGCTTTTTGGGGGTCCAATTACGACAGACTCTTGGCTATCAAGCACAAGTAGTACGTTTCATCTATCGTTTCTCGATGTCTGCCTCTCAACATATTTTAGTGATCCTGATAGATTGTTGGAATGCTGGCAATGTGGCAAGTCCTCTTTCTCTTTTCTAGCTTTCAGACCACTAATTTTCCTCCGCGTCTAGTGGGCTGGACACCAAAATCTCCGCTGTACAAATGCTACTTGTAGCGATCTGCATTTTGAAGAGGCATTAATCGGTTTATTTAA